CGCTTATCGTATAATTGTACACCAAAGCTACAATATTACACGTCATATAATACATACGAAATGTTGTGAAACATATTATTAAAATCATTATTGTTTTATAGTTTATACAATAGCAGGTACCTTTTATCAGTTAATATTATATAGTGTATATTATAATATCATAAACTTAAATATTTTAAATTTTTGTTCAGACATTATTTCTTTTCATAATTTTTCAATTATTTCATGCGGAAGAGGGTGACTATTTTCTAGACGTCAGCTATTTTGGCATGAAATATACCCCCAATGCTTTTTAGACACGATGTGACAAATTTTAACTGAGAAATGACAAAATGGCGATTAACGTCATTCTCTAGATTTGTTCTACCTTTAACTAGGTATATTAAGAGAAGATTATTAAAGATATCCTAATTATTAAAGATATTATTAAAGATTATTTTATTTAAGAGTAGATAATGCTCGGTAGATAATATTCTCTAAATTTAGGCTTAAAACAGCTAAAAATAAAAATGTATAAATAAATGTAATAAAAATTAATTTTTTTAAGTCAGGAAACTAATTTGTTTTTTATCTCTATCGATCATAAAAAAAATGTTCATAGAATGTGACAGTCTTTTCATGGTCATAATAATAATTAGTTTATCTACACTGCTACAGAATATACAGCATTATAATTTTAACCTAAACAAACTACTTAACTTAATAATGTGGATATTTTAAAACTTATCGTAGTTAGTAAATTAAGATGATTATTAATTTGAATTTTTAATTTACACAATAACAATAAATTATTATTTTAATTTATTTAACTTTGTTTTTGAAAACATTTTTCAATAATATTTCATAATAACCGTTGATCATATTCAAGTTAAGATAATTTATTATTAATAATAATAACTTCCCCAATTATTGTTATGAATTGCTCACTTTCATTCAATGTAATTAAGTTTAATTTAAAATAATTTAAAATATAAGAATGTATTCAAAGTTAATAATATTAAAAATTTCGTTCAATTTATTATATTATGACTAGGGCTGGGATTTGTATGAAATGTCGTATTTTTCTTATGTTTTAAAATGTAAGTCCGTGCCTAACTCGATGATGTATTTCAGGGAATTGAGATTTTTTGAATGGGATATTAGTTTATTTTTTTTTTTATACATTTTTATTTTAATATTTTAACTCATTATTAATCTCGTTTTCCAAGTTTTTAGAAAATATTTTACGATTTATTTTTGAACTAAACGTACATTGTCTCTAAAAATGAATTATTGTAATAAAACCAACATATTGGCAGAGAGGTAAAAAAAGATCAGATAAACGTGTTGAACGTGTTTATACGGTGTTATTCATCTAACGTAAGACACTCGTTTTTTTTTCAGAAAACACTAATGGTTTTGAAAATCCGTAGTACAGATCAAAAACCTTTAGTCAGACATGTACCATCAGTTCGTTTAAACTAATTGAAATTACACTAATGGTGAACTCTGTTGAAACAAGTATGCAGGTATAAGTAGATAAGGCGCCTACGTCGTTTTTCCAAATAATTACAATGCATTTTTGTTTCGGCCCATAGTAAAGTGTTTGTCGAGTTTTTGTTGGCCACAAGTTTAACATTACCACGTGGCTACACAAATTCTGTTCGTATATAAAGTACTAATGAAAATTTAAAATCAATGGTCAACACAATACCGCTTTTGATAATAGCACAGCATTTTGTATCGGCGAGTAAAGGTACCTACCAAATTATTAATAACGTTTTTCTATCTCTTTATTTTTCTATTTTAGTTTTTTTTTTTTTTCATCACTTTGCTCTTTCTAAAATAACTCATTAATTATGAAAACCATGTCGTAGAACACATTAAAGATTTACACTCCAGACCAAATATACTTGTACAATAATAGAATAAAAATACGCCTGTTTAAATACAGGCCTTGATCATGATTTCAATTAAGCGAATTACAAAGTACTTTAATGTACTTTTCGCGTAGTCGGTGGCACGGCTGCAGTTTATGCAGCATAGCCAGAGGCTGCATCCGGCATTGTATTTACATTATAATATGTGAAACAAGAAAAAACGCATTATACGAACAATAAACACAAAGGTCAAACTGCTGTGCTAGTACTATATAGAGCGTTGGCAAGTATTATAAATACAAATCAAGAAAGACTGATTATAATAATAATATACACAGATATTTTTTAATTGTTTTTCTTTTATGCGCTAAAAGTTTCAAAATCAAATATGAAATGATATATTATGTTCCGTAATCCATGTTTGCTGTAGGTACTTCTTGTATTTGTTACTAGAAACTAATGAGTTATTTTACCAAATAAAAATAACTGGTAAATAATATATTGTGTTTCATTATTATTATTATTAACCTGTATTAAAGGAACTTTGCACATTATCACATCAACTATAAACACCGTTTTTATTTTTTCAAAGTGTAAAATATGTTTGATGTATTTTATTGAACATTTCGCCGAATTAAAATACAACTATTTTAACATGATATTGCATCAAATAAAAATCATAATTTTTACCATTTTTTCCTGTCACTTATTTTTAACCATAGTGTTTTGTTAAAACAATGCTAATTAGTGCAGTAGAGTGCCTTGGGTGCAGATGATAAACACGATGTTCCGTCCATGTGTAAGGCACATAAAAAATAAGAAATATTTTTATAACATTTTCAACCCTTTTAACAAAGAAAAAATTCGAAGCATAATGGGAATAATTTAAAAGATTCGAAAAATTACCCATTCTTTACTATAATGCCGGTGTATAATATTATGTGGTCCTGCGGTAAAAATCTGCGACTTCCTATGACTCTATGTTCATAACTTATGTCATTCTCGGTAATATGCCAACAGGCGCAGTACACAGACACAAAACTACGACACAAAACGACATCCGCTTATTAAAAACCATAAACTTTATGAAAATAATTAAAAACTCACGATTAAATGTAGCTGGGTATATTACGCCGATTAAGGTAGATAAGACTATCTGGATTCTCTCAACTATTTTTTTTTCCAGTATTTATTACGTCTGTGTATAGGGGATTTTCATTTATTTTATATATTTTTTTTTCTTAAGATGTTTTTCTTTTTTACAAAATATACGTGGAGTTTCCTTAACGAAAAATAAAAACTGCTTGTGGGCAAACACAAGATAATTGTTTTTTTTCTTCTATTTATCACGACACAAGTATTCGATTTTCTATCATTACTGCGTCGGTTTCAATACGCCAAAGGCTGTATTCGCCCCTATATGTATATTGTTATTATTATAATATTATAAGCAGTACCTGCACATAAGATACAACAAAGGCGACTACAGAGGCGACTGGAGAGATTGCGCTAAGCCCACGTGGCGTGTAGCTACACCTCGTTAATATAATAATATGGTACAATTATTTAATCATTGCAATAACATTGAGCGTGGTAGGAATTGGTTTTTTTTTTGTTCGTTGAATTTCGTGATATGATGCCGTTACCGATCCAATAAACAATAAAATAATATTATACCACAATAAAATATCGTAAATAGCTAACGCGTAATTTCAAAAACGTGATATCATTGAATATATATTTAATAAAAATATTATCGATTCAGAGCACGACAAGAGATCGAGTTCTGAATTATACAATCCTCCCCCTCGCCGACAAAAAAATAAAAAAAAATCCACGCTCATGGTATTCCGGCGGTATTCGGAGCTCCGAGGTATGTCGGTTTAAATTGTCGATACGTAAAATGACAAAAATCACCTAAATCCTCTGATTCCGGGTGTACAGGTGCCCTCAAAAATGTGTAATACCTCTAATCGGGCGCAGCGTTAGCTGTTCTCTCGCATAGTACGCGACCGATATATCTCCGAACCTCGGACATTCTTTTCGTCTCCGTTTCACGCGTAAGCACACATATACGCGGTATAAACCAAGATACAGGTATTAAACTATACGTTTGGGCGAAATGCCACGTCGACGTGTACATATTATATACGTATTGAACATTCCACCTGGCTCGGCGCTGTCGATCGTTTTATATAGACTAGGCGTACCTGTATCTCTTTGGTAGATGGCCAAAATGGTACGTCGTGTCACAACTTGACGATTTGAGGCTTTAACATGTTCTAATCTAGGGATAAGCGTTTTTTAGCATAAAATATGAAGTCAATTATTTTTTCTACAAGTCTACAACACATCCCAGACGTAACACTCGTGTTTTTTTTTATTAATTACCTATAGCGTTTAAATACGATTTAAGTTTTATTATATTGCTTACACTTGCTACTTGGGATCGATTTGACTAGAGTAATTGTAATATTTTAAATATTACTGATCACGTTTCAATCGTTAAAAGTCTCAAAACCATGTTCAAACAAATTTAAAATATTGATTAAAACAAAAGTTATTTGCCAGGTCGTTCTGTTAGACTCCTTGTGTATTATGGTTGGATCATGATAATGATTATGTTTTTCACTAACTCATATAATTACACATTTTATTATATTATGATATCGATTTGAATAAAATGGTTGGATTAAGGTCAAACAAATAATGAATTGAGTCGAGCGTTGATACACAGGTTAAGTCATTGAAATCGTGTAAAATAATATTAATGAGTGGTTTTATACCTATTATAATTTATGCGGATTACGTGTAATTCAATCCACACTGAAATAATTAACCATTAAAATAATAATCGCAGTGGCGCCAAACTCTCAGCCATACTACCTATAACACACATTTTTGGAAATATTTTGAAAATCCTACGGGGAAAACCTTAATTTATTTATTCTAACTCGATCCCATTTTTGTTGTCGCGTGCGTAAACGATATATTATGAATGGTAATGATATGACAATCGACAGCGGTCTCCGTGGTAGGGAGGGGGGGGGAGCGTGCAGGATAAATGCCGTAAACAACTCAACCTCGTGAATATAATATGTGGGGGAAAAAATGCAATAATACATTTCTCGCGTTTTGCAGTATCGAAGGCCAAGATCATCGGCAACACGGAAATGTACATCCGGAGCGGGAGTGACATAAACCTGACGTGTGTGGTGCTGGAAACGCCGGACCCACCCAGCTTCATCTACTGGTACAGGGACAGGGACGTGATCAACTATTCAGGCCGCGGCGGCATCAGCGTGGTGACCGAGAAACAGACACGGACCAGCAGGCTACTGATATCCAAGGCCCAGCCACCCGACACTGGCAACTACACGTGCGCCCCGTCCGCCTCGGACTCGGCCAGCGTCACCGTCCACGTCCTAAACGGTGACTATATATATATGCTGTAATATCATAATGTTAATGCAACATGCGCTGCGTACGTCTGGTAAACTATGAGGTGATCGATTTGAATGTAAAATAATATTATTATACGTTTTATACATCGTAATATAATCATAATATTATCTCTGTGTTATATCGTGTTAAAAACAAGTTTTGACGGTTTTATCACAAAGAATATAGGTAATTTATGTGGTAACTGAAAAAACTAATTAATGATACGTAACTGAAAATTAAAACTACTCGTACTGTAACGATTTATTTTTTAGTTATAATGAACACACCATTTTTTGCGGAAGATTTTTTTATAGGAGATCTATAGATCTAGAGATTTATAGAGGAAAAACTCCTCGAGTATAAAATTATAATAAATTATTATTCTTATTCTTACTGTTATTATTATGTACAAATGTCGAGTAGGTTTCTATTCTAGCCTGTAAATAACGCATTAATGTCTGGTGATATATAAAAGATTTATTTGCATCTAGGTCAATAAATTACAATAATATATTCAATAAAATATGGTAATATATTTCGTGGTAGAATATATTTTATTGTATTATCATAGATAATGCCTATTTTAAACAAACAGTTATGTAATAAATTAGACATATAAATGGCAGTTAATAATAATATTAAATATAATATTATGTCTGCAACCACGAGAATTTAAAAACGTGTTTAACTTTATAATTTTAATTGAACAGCTTTTAAATATATTTTTTTCTATTTCTGATGTACGAAAATGGTTGTGTCAAAGAAATACGAATGACTACAAGACATATCAATATAGTGTAGAATCCAATTCAGAAATATCTTTAAAAATATCGTTCACATTCTCCAAAATAATAAAATACTCGTAAATTGAGTGAAATTGCCTTTTTTTTGGAAGGATTTGGAATTGTTTGGGTGGGTTAATCTCACTTGAGCTCCTCTCCTAATTATTATCATGTGCTATTGTACTGTCGAATAGTTTAACTATACGCATGGATTAAAATAGTAACATTCAACTACAGTCGTTTTCGTATTCAGACAATGTCTACGGTCTACCATAAAAACCTGATGATTTCGATAACTATTTAACATTGTGGCAATTAAAGACGGGTAAAAAAATTAAAAAAGGGTTAAATTTGTGTTTATTAAAAAAAAAAACTCGTATACAAAACATCATGCTTAATTCCGTGGTGTCCTACTATTAAATTGTATACTCGCAGTGGACGCTTCGGATTCGATTAATCCCTTTTTCGTACCGTCATTTGTACCACAAATCGCAGAGACCATTTTTTCCGTGCATCATTAGTCGCGTTTGTTTGTGTTTTTTTTACGCGTTTCAATAACACAATTATTATTATTATAATGGTAACGCGGCGTCCTGGATAGGCAATTTAGCTACACCACAGCCAGTGCGGTCCGTTTCCCGGTGGCTAGTGTAATCATTCTGATATTATATTTGTTTTTTTCCCTTGTATTTCAATAATACAATTATAATAATATTACGATACCCTCACGACGTCAGCCAACTCCCATTAAGCAAAAGTACATCCGAACCGATACCCTGAACAAATCACGTCGTCATGGAAATATGTTATTATTTTACCAATATAAAACGTGTTACGCGTAAGCGTTCGGCGTGCACACGTGACCAATTTCTACAGTAAAAACCTATGGGAAACCTGCTCCGTTTTCGCAATCAAAATGAATCATTCGTCTGGCCTTGAAACTCTGGTAAAGGTACAATAATATATATTATATTGATATTATCAAAACGTGTTGAGTTAACGTCGAATTATTTTTTTTTTAATAAAAACAACAACTACGGCGTCGGTTACGTATAATACCGCACAATCAATAATCGTAATTATTATATTATTATTAGGAGTATATTCATTAGGTGAAATCGGCAAAACGATATTTGACGGTGTGGATAATTGCTAACTATATTATAATATCATGATATAACGTTGTTATAATACTGACTTAACTTAACTGCCTATACATTGTTATTTCTTAATTAATTTTGGCCGCCTCTGAAGACGATGGTGTTGCTTGTGAATTTGAAATAAAATTCATATTACATCCAAACCACGTGGCATTTTAATTGATATCCTTGGACGACCGTTTCGAGTGGGTATTACATTATGTTCCATAATGTAATTCAATGTTTTGATATTATTAGCTCTATATTATTATATTATACGACTGCGATAATAGAGTACTTCTGTGTGGAAATACGTTCGATCAGGGTCGGCATTCGTTCCAAGAATATTCGCTTAAGGCGTGTTTGATCCATGTGACACTGTCGTCGATTGGATTGAAATAGAATCGGGACTCGACCAATAATTGTCGGTTTATTATTATCTGGTATTTATAATATTATATTATATCAACAAATTTAGCTGGTTGTAGCTTTTTGTCATACTTTGACCTTAACGGTTTTCAGCATTTAGTAAAAATGTTCGGAAAAAAACACTAATATGGTAATTTTGTGAATTGTACATTGTAGATAATTGTTGTAAAACATTTTATCAATTTATATGGTTTGACGTTAAAAATAAGTATTGAAAACGGACGAACAAAACGACGTAAAGCTACAATTTGATGGTGATTTTCATAGTCTGAAAACAAAATACAGCTCTACAGTACGATTTCTGTTTATATAAAACCGTTTGTTGATCATTGCAATACCGAAATTACAAACATGAACATAATATATATTATACTGTTATATTTATCTAAGAAAGATGCTCGAAACTCGTAGTCGAGCTACCTACCTTTATTAAAGACAACTCAACAATATCTATAAATATTTTCTCATTCGAATGCAGGTCTTGTTAAATATTATACAAAATTGGATTTATCGAGTAGAACGCACTAACCATATTATGTTCTTTGTCAAATAATCCTAAGACAACAAATATTAAAACCTCTTGAGTATCGTAAAACTCAATTAGCTTTTAAAATATATTTTAGAATAAAGTAATTTTTTTTTCCACACAATTTATAACAATGAAAACATCGTAAAATTCAAATTTTACCATTTCAAATAGTTTTCCGGCGAACAAAATAAGAAACGGCTGTGTTGCATGACACCGGCGTTGTGTTACAATACGAAAAAAAGTAATACTATTATGATAAAATACGTTGTTATTTAATTCCAAGACTCGATCGGAAATATTACACGAAACATATTAAATAAACGATAAATAGTTTTCGAAAAGTGTCCCGTGCACCGTCAATGAAAAACTAGTAACGATCAATTTGAAACGAACCCTCGGAGAAATGTCACGCACTTAAAAATACGCGTCGTATAAATAATATAACGAAACATAATTGTAACTACATGGACTCCGCTTGAAAATAAATTACAACGTCACTATTGTTTCGATTGTTTGTAAATCGACCTATATGTAATATATTATTATGTTATTATGTTATTATGTTATAATATCGGGCAATAAATTATCGAAAGTTTAAAATTACGCAAGTGAATTTACAGAAAATATATTTCACACTACCCCCAAACGAAATACCTACGAACTTATTACTATTATTATTAAAATCATTATTTTTGCTCTATATTACCTATGCGTTCATATTTTATGTACAACTCGACACGCGTATCGAACAAATTCGACAGTAATGACGTTACGTACGGTTAGCAATATTTTCTTAAACGCCTTTAGCATTAGTCTCGTCCTCCGATGTGCAATATATAGTTACGTTCGTGATCCGACACAATGATCATGTAAGTGTTGGATAAACTTTTCGCGGAGGAGACGTCTGAAATAATCGTATCATTAACGGGCGACTAAAATTATATTTACTCGGCGCAGACCCAAAGTAGGTACATCCTTCGGTGTTTGCGTTTATTGAAATATATTGTAAGTGTCAAAGCGTTTTTCGAATGCCCTCCATCACAGGTTAATTATGAAACAACAAAAAAAATAGTCTTACCAAATTACAAAGCCGATTAAAAACGAATTACATGGACGGAAACCTAAACATCCATCCGTTTGACGGATTTCCGTCGAAAAGTCAAAAATTTATAAAAAATCAAGCTCCGTGTCGGTTCGAAATCATAATAATTGTGATTGAAAAATTGAATTTTAATCTCGTGGCTGTGAGTATGTGTGATGCGTAAGTGCTAAAATGTAGTTTTTCATCAAAATATGTGTAAGAACTAAAATAATGTCCGTCGTCTTACTAAAAAAAATTCCAGTTCGAGTTTGATGACTTTCCAATTTCCATGGAAAATATAACCTTTATATTTAAACATTTTAAACACAATCAGAACAAGGTTAACAGTGATTTTCACCCGAGATAAATGATTAAATTGTGCTGACTTTAGATACACTTATTGCAAAAAAATTAACCAATTAACATAATGACAATATTCTATAATTTTGTGAATCGTGCTAAAAATAAAACTGAACATTTTTCTCAGCATTTTAGGCAATTTCCTGCCCCCTCCCCCTTCCGAAATTTGTCGTCCAGTTTAGACATAGGCTTTAAGCATTTAAGTATTTCAATTAAGTCCAACGTCGAAGCTTATATTTCGTTTAACTAAATACTAACTTTTAAAGTTTTAGGAAAATTCATCTGATTGCGGTTGAAGTGAACATTCGATCACGACACCTAACTTGACATGGTTTCTATCGTTGAAAGATTTCATCGCCAGTCGATATACCTTTACTGTATTAATACTGAACGTTTTAGTTTAGTAGTTTATTTGGTCTGTTATCCGATTCAATCCACGGACGTCTCGATAAAAAAATACAAATAAAGTAATTAGAGTGTTTACTTATTGAGTTTACTAACATTTGGATACACTGAATATACTCTGTCTAGTGCTATTGTCCGTCACAGAAATCGAACAGGAGTTTTCAGAATCAGTTTTTCATATTAAATTGTTCTCATGTTTTTATCCCAGCCATCGCTACGTTTTGTTCATCGTCGATGCGTCACTGCACTCGTGGATTCGGTTTACGATTTATGCGTTCCAAAATAATATATTATCGTACTAGTGATGTGTGCGTATTAAAATTTAATCAAAACACCCCAAGTCAGAATAATTACATCACCTGTACAATAACAATGTGCCTAATACTTGTAATAGGCATATTATAGCAGGTGATACATCTGAACACATTAATATTATTGTTGAGCAATCGTATACCAGCTATAATCGTATTTCTGAGTTTTGCGGTCATATCAATCACAGATGCAAAATTATATTGACCCGCCGATTTCGAAAATAGAGTTGAATAATGTATAGCATTTTTTAAACTGGTTTTATTTATTTTATAAGTGTTCGAAAAGTGGGCCAAAGAATTTATATATTAGTCTTAGACACCTAGAAAATCATTTTTACCCAAGATCACTTACTGGGCAGATAAACATTTTAGTTACACATCTATGGAGTTCGACGTTTGAACGCGGGGTATTCTTTTAAATTGGAATGGGTACATAATTTATCAAATAATACGTGCAGATTCGCGAAGAAATGTGATTACGTCTTACACCTACCCAATGTGGTTATTTACTGTGGTTGGTATTCGATACTTTTTTCGTTATTTATTTCTACAATCCATTCATGGATTTCTGTACAATAGGTAAATCTAACCTTGACAACGCGTCAAACGCACAGAGGTTGAAAGATTAAATAAAAGTACCCAATAGCATCATTTATCGTGAATTTCGCCATTGTTTTTTATTTTTTTTTTAAGAAGTTCCCATTTTCATATGATTCCCCAATATTATCGGAGTGGTAAATATATATTTTTCAATAATATGATGTTGGTTAACTACAATAAATTATAAATTATAATATCAATTAGATTTTTCCAATAAACTATTAAGTAAAAAATTAGATTTTTCAACGATATTATCGTGGGGATGGACAAATTCGTACAGATAAAAAACGTCACGCCTTTTGCGACACTCCTGCGTTTGCAATTGCCGCAGTTTCGACCGAAATGTAGATCGGAATATAACATGTTTGTACACATGCATAATACTATGTACTATGGAAATATGTTTTTTTCATACTATTCATATAGTGATGTTTTCAACAATTTTTATCTCAACTGAAGTGGCAGAGGTTATCTGGAGCTTTGCTCGTTTCGACTTTGAATATCGACACGTTGTAACAGAAAGAATGATCAATTCAGAAGAAAAAAAAGTTTATTTTTTATTTAGGTTACCGGTTATTATAAATGTATCTTCGATATGAAGTTAAACCTTGTTATATTTGAACGCGTACTGTGAAATTACAATTCGAGTAGTGAACACAACATTATTTCTACAATCAGTACTAGTATAATAGCTATACATACATCAAGTCGGCCATGGTGGGTGTAACAACAATCACAATAATGATAATTATAGCAATAACGACCTAGATTTATATGCAAATATGTATATTTTTTTAATATTGGAATTAGAACAATTATTATTCTGCGATACAATATAATATAATATAATGTTCTGTAATGTTTTGATTTAAGCGATAACATTTAGTTTACGCTTACTTCTGCAAAATGACATACATATCTGTATAATATTATATTGCAACGATATTATATTATTATAAATTATCATTGATATTTAAGGAAATATTAAATACCATTTATATGTTTTATTTTTAAACTATAAGCTAAAATTTCGTTGTTGCGGTCGTTATTACAACAACCGCTGCGTTTTTTCGTACGTCTTCAAGAACGAGACCGACGGCTCGACAGCTTTTGCCAGACTGTCAATGGGGAAAGTACAAAATTCTTCTTAAGTAAACTATATGTTGATACTTATTTCAAAGTTAAAACATAATGTGTTCAAATGGGCCCCTAAAAAATATAAGCCGGGGGAGGGGCGAAGTCAAAAATCTCTGATACACAGCGAGTGCATTTTTTTCTACAAGTGATAAAATTAACATTGACACTTTGATAGCAGGAGGCATGACTTCCCAGTTCCCCCTTAGAGGGCGCCCTTAAATGTGTTATTATGTTAAAGGTCACATATATCTAGATTGTAAACTTTACCCCCTAAATTTATAGTTTATTGAATATTTTAATCATGTGATATCATTAAAATTTTTTTGTTTCAAAATAATCAATTTGAATTAATGCCCAAGAAAATTACACCCATTTTCACTTTTAATTTATAGTTTTGACTTTTTGTTTTTTTCAGAAAAAAATTTGTTTCTATTTTATTCAAAAAATATTTGCATACCTATAGCTTTACACATGCAGGCCTTCCTAACAACAACAACAACAACAATAATAGTGGCCTGGTGTGGTGCGATGTTTGCCTTCAGTCACAAAAACACGTGTTCTGAAGTCAAGCATCAGCCCGTGCCACTAATTCCCGGACGGGTGACCACAAAGGCTCTAGTGACAAACCCTCGCCACAATATGATATAGGTAGTAGGTACACGCAATATGTCCTTGTCAACCTTATCTCCCCCCCCCCCCCCACTATTGAAAAACCTCCTCAAAATAATCACACGACTCTGCGTATGTTGCGGCGGGTTGATTAGTAAAAACAAAAAATAAAACAATAATAACGACGTTGACTACTTCGGCAGGTGAACACCCGGCGGCCATGCAACACGGCAACAGCAGCAACAGCGCGGTGACCAGGCTGCTGCCGATTTTCCTGCTGTTCGTGTGCCATTCCATTCAGGTGCTGTTGGTCACCGACGTGTACGTGCCCACCCGCGTCGTCAAACTGACCAGATGAACGGCTACGCGCACACGCGATTAAAATCATTATATTATTATTATTATTATTATTATTATTATTATTATTACAACTATACTTCACGTGTACACCGCGTGTTTCAACAATAATTTAAAAGAAAAAAAAAGTAAGATAAAAACATATGTAAGAACGTGAGTCACCATTGTGGGGAAAAAAACCACGCAAGCTTCCACCGCAAACGCCGTACGAGAGCGGCAAGTGTGCAACGATATAATTATTGATATTATAACTGTAGGAAATTACTAATTAACGTCGTAATTATAAAAATGAGACGTACCGTGGTGAAGTGGGTCGTCGAGTGAATTTCTTGATTTTCATTATTTCCACACAATATTACTATCGTTATTATTATTATTGCGCGTAGGTGGTACCGAAGACTTACCATCGTGTGATTTATACCCTCGCGGTGTTCCACTGTTTAACGCTCGCTTGTCGACAATAAACGACGCGTTAAACGAGTGTGTGTGCGTGTGTGTGTGAGAGTGAGGGGGAGGGGAGAGAGGGAGTGGAGAGCGATAGTATTATAATGTAATTTATTATACACACGCCGTATTATTATCGTCATTATTACTATCACTACCGCGGTTCGGGTCGTCGCGTTTGTCGTGGTTCGGGTGGCGTTCGCAGCGTCAAAAATCATTTTTTTTTTTTTTACATACATATAAAACACTATAAATTATTACAATATAGTATTACTAATGCAACTATTACAACATAAGATAACGGAAAAAAAAAATACGTGCTTGTAAATATTTATACCTATCGATGTTTGTTTTCCGTATCGTTCCTTACCGCTTGAGTCTCACTCGTACGAAAATAATGTATATTATTATATTATGATTTATGGTATATACGTGTTTCTGTCATATATATATATATTATTATTGTAAGCTGTAATATCAAAATTATTATTATTATTATTATTATTATTATTATTATTACCGACCCATTGATGTTGTATAGTTTCGTTTTGTGTCTGTGACCTGTATATAAATGTTTCCTATATTATAGCCGTTCTTTTTCTCATAATTGTGTACAGTGCTGGATACTATATATATATTATATAATATCACCTATATAATATGTTATACTTACAATATTATATATGTATATGTATTTGTGTATTGTTATCGATGTCGTTATGTTTTTATTAAAAAAACCAACCGTTCATGCCGTGTCGGGAGTTTCAATTAGATCATTACAATATTACAATATTATAATAATAGTGTTAAATATGCATATTGTATTATCGTTTCTGTTGTGTCGATCACTTCCGACAAATATATATATATATAGTGTCGTTGTAACGTGTAAATAACAAAATATTATAACATAATTAATAATAAATAATATTATCATCACCGTTTTGTACATAAAAAATAATATCAGTAATCACAATCAGTATGTTATGTTTTTGTTTTTGTCTTGATCAAATTATAATTCAAATGTAATAAACGTATAATTAAAATTGATACATGCAATAGGTATATTTTCTTAATTAAATCCTCTTGGGAAATTTCATTCGCAACTTGTGTCCACCACGTCGTACAACAATTAAACGACAAAAACGATTGTTTATTGTGTACGTCGTCGTGGCGGTTAACTATACTTATAAATACAAAATGCTGCAGAGTTTTATACAATTGCATTTGTCTGGTACAATATTACGGTAGAATTAATTTCGTTTGCCATAGATAATTGATTTTTAAAGGGTTTATTATAATATGATGATATAATTGTTTTGTTTCCGTAATAACGCGAATGCCTTGCCACCGAACACACGACGAATAAATACCTTACAAGAATAATATTATTCGAGTGAATGTGCTCGAATTTAATTTGTTTAATTTATAGCCATGTTAGAATAGATTAAAAGATTGGTATATTTATTCACCTTTAGACAACAGAATAGCTAATTAAAGTAAAATAAACATTCACAGTGCTTGCGAAATTTGTTTTTAAAAAGAATGAGTTCAGTCAAAAATAGGGTTGGCTACAAAACGTTAACGGAGATTATTAAAATTCAAACAATTCATTCTTATGGTTATTTATGTTGCACTATATTATTATAGTTGCAAAATCTTGAATATGAACTTACTCATTTCTTATTTAAAGGTTAAGGATTGATAACAAAACCTCACATAAAATAATATGTGTATAAATTATGGTTTGGAATATGTTTTTTTATAGAGCCATTATTTTTTTTTCTTCCTATTTTACATCTTTTATACTTAGCCTTAATTGTACGTGTATAGAACACCATGCAATATTAATATTAATTCGTTTAGTTACAGAAGTTCCTGATGGAGATTGATAATATAGAATATGGGAAATGCAATACAATATTATAGGTACCTACCTAATAAAAATGCGGTTTCTACAGCAGAAAGTTTTATGAATAATATTCTCAGAATGAACGAATAATGTGCGTCTATGAGCAGTATATAAAATATAGAAACAGATAATAAATAAATATCTGAAATACGCCTAGGGAGAATGTTTGCGAAACACTATAAATATATTATAAAGGTCGTAAAAGATAGTCACTCGCACTACGGAGATAAGGACGAGACAGTATATACAGTAAGTCGGTGAACTTGCTTCGGAAGGACACACTACCACGTACAAACACTATAAGTGTACGTAGTTATAGCATTGCTGTAATACTATAAACATTAATTTACAAGTAACGTGATTTTCACTCAATAAATATGGTTATGGGATAAAATGTATTTTTCTCGTTGTAGTTGAGCATTGGAGCAAGTTCGTTACAGTCAAACCGTAGATTCCAATAAATACGTTCGTGTACGTTTTTTTTTGTTTTTTTTTTTTTTTGTTATACCTATTACTTTATTTTTCCCAAAATTCTAGTTTTATCCATTTTTTATTTAAATTAGAAGGTGTTTGATATTGATTTTTTAAAACGAACATAAACTTCATGTGAATAAGATGGCTGTAACTCTTTCAGGTGTACTACTCGAACGGACGTTTAAAAGGCAAGTGTTATACTCTAAGGAAAAAAAACGTATAGTGAAAAAAACGTACTTTTGTAATAAACTAAATGTCTACCTACATCTTTTTGAATTATTATTTTAAAAAAAAACGTCAGTGAAAAAATACCTCACCCTAATTTACTAATACTTGTAGGTATGCCTTTATACTACATCAATATTTTTAAGTTATGGTTTATTATGAACTTCATTAAAAAGTAATTTATTCATTATAATAATATATCACTTAAAAAAAAAAACGATCACATGAATTTGTTTTACTAAAAATAATGTTAAATGTAAATAAATTGAAAACCGTCATGTACAGTTTTGTAATTATTTTATAATTTCATACAATGGTATACTTGGATATTTTTTATTGAACCTATAGATTACCATTTTGAAAAAACATTGTAACCCAACGAGTAAAACATAATACAAGTATAAAGTTAAGAGTCAAGATATTATATAAGAAAAGATTTTTGGAAAAAAATAACAATATATAAAAAGTATACTTTCGTATTAAAAAAAAAAAACCGGATAAAAAAAAATGACAAAACAACGATAATCACATTTGTTCTATACAAACGGTATTATTAATAGCTGGTAACATTCTGCATCAATTTAATTTTCCTTTTTCATTTGTGTTAGTACATCATTTGTATTTTAATGTTCAAATTAAACGTCTTATATTGTATTTATTTGTATTAGTAGCAAATTATATACAATATGTAAATACAAATACCTAATAAGTTATTATACTTGGCACAGCATATATTGGAATCGAATCGTTCACAATCTATTTCGTGTCTCTGTATTGAGGTAAATCGTGTTTTTGAGATCACGAACAATAATAATTAGTAATTTAGTGTTTTATAAACCTACTTTTTTTTGTTTTGTCAAGTACCTATTTCAGGGAAATAGGAATTGGGAGATTAAATAAAAAGTATATCCAGCAGATATTTAGTCTAATATGTAGCTAGCTACAACTGTGTTACAGGAATTACGGTTACTCAATAAAACGGTATATCTCCTAACCCCATTATATTAATATATTTAAAGTACCTATTCTAAGAAAGTCCGTTTTTTATTCAAATAACAACATAATTAATTTATACATCAATAAATTAATCTACGTTACCTCAGGAGTACTGAAAAAATCGTTATTCTCAAAAATTCAAAATAGATTTTTACCGACAAATCGGCACTCGTAACTCGTAAGTCATACAAATGTATCAACTGTTGGTGTTAAACGTTTCCAGTGATACCACATACCATGTCTCTGATTTCTGTAAAAGATACATTGAGAACAATAATTGATAAACAATTGATGACAATTAAACCGACTATATGGTGCATTAGTATTTAACATACTACAACATATCATTGAAATCAATAAAGATTCGGAAGTTTTTTTGCTTCTATAAGCCATATAATGAGCAAGATAATTATTTGAAATCATCCTTCGGAATAATAGAGGTAGGCACACCAATATTTTTTTTAAATACCACTCAAAATCGACCGTTATAGGTAAAAAGTGTACCATTATATTGCTTATGAAGTTGTTGACTATGAAATAATAAATCCCCAACCTAATACAATAATTAGTAATGTATTCGCTGTTCTTGGGTATATCCAAAGAATTTGAAATTGTAAACATAATTTTTACCAATCAGAACACACGAAATTTATTTTTAATTTAATTTGATGTACTTATAATAACACAGAATCGCAGTATAAAATAATCTTGCAAAAATATCTAATTTCTATCGTAATAATTTAATACATTTTTTTCTGATAATGACAAACAGTTTTTCAACGGGAGCATTTAAAATTTAGATGAGTGGAGTGTGCAACCCAACACAATAAACTGTCGAATACAAATATAACGATTAAAAAAGTAAATTATTTTTCGAGAACTTTATAAAGTGGGAATCATCAACATAGAGTAATTAGATACAGTGCAACAACTATTAAATTAGTGTAATTCAGAAGCTATCTGTACAATAATCGTCACGTCCATCTAATTTATGGACATTTAACGACAAGTCGTTTTGTTTAAAATTTTTGTCGCGTTTATACCTGCAGCACCATAAAAAAACTATGCGAAATAAGAAAATCAACAAACTATGATAATATCATCAATATTTCATTTTATATCATTCAAAGACATGTGCAGCATATTATTATGCCGTGGCCCGTGATGAGTACATCTAACAAATGTTGACAGTAACCGTTATGAATGGCACAAAAACTTGTAATTGATGTTGATGAATTGTATTTTCAGATTTTAAATTGATAGTTATGTCCATACACACTTGATAATAATTTTTCATACTTGCCATCACATCAAACTCAGCAGCGTTTAACGGAACTCGATCAAGTCTGTGTTTTCTATCATATTCAATGCCAAATGTATACCGACTTTGAAGGTCGTCGTATGGGACTTGAGAAAACATATTGTTAACTTGAAAACTAATCCTCCACTTTATTGAAATTTTAAACCCTTCATTTTTCAACTCATTTTTAATACGGTCGGCAAAACATTGATATTTTTCAACGAAAAAAATAACATAATATTCTTGTAGGTGTGATCATTGACATGATCGTGCATATGAGGAGGGGCTACACCATTTCTTTTCCATTATGTTAGTTTTGTACATATTAATGAT